ATTCAAATCAGCCTACTCCGGAGAACAATTTAGTATGGCCCTGAAATGTGATTTATTAAGACCCCTGTTCCTGGGTTCATGCTTGTAACTGTGAGAGCGGAGGGAACCTCCTCTCACCGAAGAGGTTATGGCCCCACCCTGCTATCCCACCCCCACTTCCACCCCACCCCACCCTCACCCCTGCAAAGCTGGTGGCCCAATCACAAAGAAGCCCAGCCTTCTATCACCACAGGGCCCCGGCACTGAGCGGGACTGGGGTTGGGGGCAGGCGGGGCCCCCAAGGGGGGCTGCCCTGAGCGGGTTCTGGGTGCGCAGTGGAATATATGGGCACGTGGCTAATCAAAGAGTGGCCCCAATTCTCGGCCCATCTGGGCGGGTGTTTCTGTTTCTGACAGCTTTAACGAGGTGGCCAGGTTGCAACCGGGCAAGGGAAGCCATGTCATGGAGCAGGGCACAGAAGGTGGGCACCTCAGAAGCCAGGTCTGGGGCGGTGTCCCTGACTCCAGCCTTGCTTCTTCCCTGTCCACACAGATTCAGTCCGGCCCAGGGCCCAGCAGAGAGAACCACTCCGTGCCCCAAGCCACAGGCTTGCTTGGGTATGAGGCATTGCCCCGGGAAACAAGAACCTCTGCGTTTGTTTTCTAAAATAAACAACCTACTTCTACTTCCCCTCAGCCCCCTACCTATTATCTTCCTTTTGGACAGCGCACCCCTTCCTCAGCGCACCCCTTCCTCCGTTTCACCTGGCGGCAGTGCCTCTGAGTTTCACCTCTAGCTCTGGGGATCAGTCATGCAGAGACGGAGGGGGTGCTGAGAGGTTCCACAGCACCTGGCCTGCCCCTGCCCTCTGCCGGGCAGCCACTGCCCCTGCTCTGAATACCCTTCTCTTCCTGTAACTGGCCTGCACAGGAACCGTCTAGGTACGGACATGCCCGCCCTCCTCACCTCCTCCGCCACTTTCAACTCCCTGCTGGGGATTTTCCCAGGACCATTAAGGCTCCCATTAGTGGTTATGAGTTGGCTGCTAGCTACAAGGTCAGCAGTTTGAAACCACCAGCCCCTCTGAAGGAGAAAGATGCACCTTTCTACTCCTGTAAAGAGTCAGTCTCAGAAACTGGCAGAGGCAGTTCTACCCTGTCCTATAGGGTGGCTGTGAGTCGGCCTCCACTGGAGGGCAGGGAGTTTGCTTGTGTCTGAGTCTTGGTTATGGCTCATGGCTCAGCGCCTCTCACTCGCAAAAGTGTCCTGGTTTGGGCCATTAGTGATTGTGTTACACCATCTCAAATCAGCTGTTAAAGCCGAAAACAGGGAGGTTATCAAGAGCTGGGGAGAGGGGAGAATGGTGCGCTGCCATTTGCTCTGGTACAGGTTCTGTTTAGGGTGTGTGGTGCAGAGCCTCTGGGAACAGAGAGTGGAGCTGGTTACACAGCACTGTGATGTGATCAATGCCACCGAATTGCAC